ACTCAACGGGCCGGAATTTCATCCATGTATCACCCCGGAACAAGCAGAGCCCGAGATACAAAAAAGAACTTCATCATACCAGCATATAACACTTCTCCAGATAGTACTTTGCGCGGTCGAATACGCGGCCCTTGCAACTTTGAGTGTTCGAGTGTAGCCAGCTGTAGAAGCAGATGGTTCTGAAAAGTCATGTCACTGGAAGTATGGAGAACAGAAGCCGCGAAATATCAACCTTCGCTTCATTGACAAGCTCTTGGCAGGCGGTGTCATCACTCAGCAACGGGTCCTCACCGACCGTGCCGACAAGAAACTTTGGACTACAGAGTGGCAGACGAACATGCTCTAAGAGCTGTAAAAGCAACGTCTCAAACATCCGCCAAATATTTACAAAGACTCCTTACCTTTGAAAGATAGCTTTTCCGTTCTGTTAAATTGAACTTAACCCAGTGAGTTACCGCCGTGAAAACCTGGAACAAATTCACCGACTGATGGGAAGAAAACAAATTGTTAGTTGTGTTTTTATCCAATATGACAATCTACCTGCCTCCTCTATCTCACTTGGAGCTCTTTTTTCACTGGAAGTTTGTAGATTGACCAGCTGCTCAACAGATAGAGATAATATCTATGACTACTCCTGAACAAAGAAATACTGCGATTCAGGTAAGTTGTATGAAAGTATCAACGAGTGGGAACCTAACAACCTTGGAAATTTGTGCAAAAGATATTAATATATATTTTTTCAGAAGGTCGTGACATTCATACTTCTCGGCAAGCGATCTAACTGCCAAACAATTCGTGAGATCCAATTCATTTTTTAAAAAGACACTGCACGATTCCTGCAAGCAAAAATTTGAGTTGTTGAAACCTTGCGTACTACCTAACACTTCAACAGAAGAAGCATGCATCTTTTTAAAGGAATTGTGCGTCACGATAATTCTCTTGAGGGACGATAAGGAATGCTGTGTACTGGAGTGGATAGGGGTCCTGCCCAATGTTACAACACGTGAAGTTTCAGTGGCAGTAGCGCCTTATCAGCGGAGTGATAAGGCGCCGAAATCCACTTCCGGTTAGCAAAAACCAAGACTTATCGATGTGGAAAGGGCTGCAAGGGGTGCGTGCTAGATATGATACCGTTATCGTGATTGTCCGATTTTCATTCTAGAGTGTACTTTATTCTTAGCAGCCGCATCTCCTTATCTTATGACGATACGATAAGGTAAGAAGATACGGCCGTTTGGGATAAGGTGCTCTTCAGAGTTAAAATCGGACTCCTGATAACGGTACCATCTCAAGAACGCTTCCATTGCAACTATTCCACGTCCGATACATAGGTGGGCTGCAATACAGAAATGGGCTCCGAGCGCTTTACATCAACACGGACAATATTGTACCTATTGCCCTAGCTATAAGCGTTCGAACTTATTTGACCGTTATATCGGGTAGGTCTTCTATAAATTTTCCCAGAAGTCTCCATGGGCTTATCTTGACACACCTCCTTTAACACGTTGACGACAACGCGCGTTTTGGCTTTTTTGGGCGCGTGGGACCGGCGCGATTTTGCGAGCGCGGCCGCCTCAGGTAATTCAGGCGGGTTTTGGGTGGTAAATAAGGAAAAACGTGATTGATACGAGATAAGATCGGTACTTTCAGTGCATAGAAGCTACGCAGGGTATAGTAGTAAATATTTGATAAAAAGAAATAAAATGAAAATGAAAAAGCAAAATTTGTGAGGCTCAGCTGCAATGGAAGTTAAAACGAACTTTACCTCGATTGTACCGATCAAGATGCATATCATGTCATCCCTTAGGTTCCGCATTTACTTATACTACCCTTTGAATCTTTACCCTCATGAGGGGAAAAAGGAAACGAAAAATTAACTAAACTGATGATTTTGTAGGAATCAGAAACTCTCCTCTTAACTAAGGCACACGAGACCATTCTGTGGGTCAATATATTTGTAGGTATGCTGAGGTTTCCCTTTAGAATACACTCAAAAGTACTTAACTTGAATCGCGCTTGCGCGGAAAAAAATAATGTAATGGGTGCAGGACACATACGTCCCGCGCTGTCCGTCATGGCCTGCAAAGTGCGGGACGTATGTGTCCTGCGTTGTCGTCAACGTGTTAAGAGACGAACGAATAATTACCAACACTCAGGGTCAACATCTGTTGTGGCGATTTCAGAATGTTCAAGACCTAACCCCCTCCTTCTGATGAGGTCTCGAAAGAACCTGTCCCTATGTGTCAGCAGTGTGTGTTTTTGCCTACCATTATGCATTTCTGTTGAATACAAATGGTTTTTTTTACGATATGGTCGCGGCTATATCGCGAGCACAGTGTTAGTCTTCCCTTCACCAATACGGTAAATATTTTTGAAATTGCTGAGGCTTCTACTCAAGAAAACTACAACCTTTCCCAAACTTCAAAATCCTCTATCAAGAAATCGACTTCTTCTTTTAACAATAACTTCCCTGAATACGGTCCTTTGCAAGCAGCAAGAAATTATTGAAAAACTAAATTTCTGCTCTCTTCTGATGAGTGAGAACTATCTGAAAATGTCCACTCCCTCAGCAAAAAAAAAAATCCCGCTACATCTCTATAGTGAAGAGAGTTTTCAACCTTCAATGCCAGTAAAATCCCACCGAGTTGAGTTCCTTCAAATTTCTACTGCTAATTGAACTACGATAAGAGAGCATGCAAAGTACTGAAATATTCCTGAAATCAATTTGACGAAAATGTTTGGCTTTTTCTTAATGTTTGCCGCCTGATTACGAAACACATGACAGTACCCATGAAATCTTTCGGATTCAACTTCTTGCAAACCCTTAGGTTAACAAAAAAATAACGTGTGGAGACTTTCTTTTCTGACAAATAAATATTAAACGTTTTTGAAAATTCACGGGTAACGAAATGGTTCCAATCAAGACACTTTTCTGCAAGATTTTCGGCCTCTTCTTATGAAAAGCGCATTTTCAAGTCATAGCTTTCTTCAAATTTGTTGTCATACCTGTCGCTCTGCAACTTCGTTTGAAATAGAAAAAATTCCCTACAACATTATTTTGCTGGTAGCTAAAACATATAGCGCTTTGCAGCAACAATTCCTGCTCTCGTTAAATCCGTGGAGTCTCCTGTGGCAGGAATTCACGGCATTTGTAGCCTGTTCTCTTTTACTCTGCCTTGAGACCAAATTCTGACACTTGTCCCAGCTTTCATAACCACCCTCGTTAAAAACGGCACACGGTTGACCCTACCACCAGCCAGTATTATCATCCTGACCTGAACTTTGTCCAACTGAAGAACGCTGGCAGCATGCAGCATGTTCAGCACATTAGCATCGTTGATCTCTAGCCTACCAGAATAGCAGAAATTAACAAGGCAGCAACTAGCGTCGTTGGTTCCAGATCGACCAATTCTATTTCGTTTGAAAAACTGGGAGACGATACAAGAGACTCTGAAAGAACTTATTTACCGAAACCACCCAAAGGAAGAAGAAATTATTATAATCTCTATATCACAATCATGAACAAACGTGAGCGACTATCATTCATGACGTTCCCATCCGGATCGATCACGGCAAGTGATTCTTCTGGAAAAGAAACTGATAAAAACGAGCCTATGCACAAAAATGGTTGAGGAGCATTTCCTGAATATATCTATGAGTCGTAAACATACGTGAATGACCCTGAGACATGTTAATGTTATTGAACATGGCCTTGAAATATTTCGAACATGCTGCGAGGATGCATCGGTGAGCGTTTATTCGCGTGCCCTGGAAAATCTCCCACTTGGATAGGTTAAACGTCCACAACCTTGTGAGAATTACCTTAATGACCAGCACCACGTCACACAGCTGAGAGTCGTCACGAAGTGCTGCCAGCTGAGCAAGCAGTTGGCTACTGTGACAAGATGTCTAAAGATGGGAGGTGCAAGCGTTGTAAAGTTTATGCGAGAATATATCAAAATTACCTCTGGTCTTAATTCCAAGTAAATAGCAGGGAATCGTGACACCTGCCTTACCATTAGACCGGTGTAGGCCGATGTCAGACTTTGCGAATCGCGCGATTCGCTAGCGTCTGCGGTCGCGTCGCGGCCAGTGAATCACTCAATTGGCTGGTACCGCAACGCGACCGCGGACGCTAGCGAATCGCGCGATTCGCAAAGTCTGACATCGGCCTAGAGTGCGCAACACACATCCCGAGGCGCTCAGACCTCGGTCAGACGGAGCCGCTGGCGACGGAATCGCCGGCGACGGAGTTGCCCGGCACAAGAGTGGCAGCAACGGGCGATGACTCAGCACACGATCGATATCGGTTGGCAGGGGAGATTAATCATCCTCACCCATCGTTTCCCCCGGCGATTCCGTCGCCAGTGGCTCCGTCGCTGGTGTACAGCGACGCAATCGCCGAGTCTGACCGAGGTCTCATCCAGTAAGGGGGGCATCAAGTGGCTGCCCTCACCCCCACCCCCTAGACTGCCTACACTCCCCCTGGCGCACAGGTTTCTCGAAGTACGGGACCCCGTGAGCCAGGGGGAGTGAAGGCAGTCTAGGGGGTGGGGGGGGTGAGGGCAGCCACTTGACGTTGCATCACAATGCCCCCCCCCCTTACCGACTCTAACACCTGCCCTAAGTGCAACTAGGAAGGGTATGGATCGCTAGGACAGGAAGCGACGTTTTCACTTTTCGCAGCACGAACTTTTTTGCTGCGGGAACCCCAGCTCCATCACTAATCAGGGTGGACCTGGGGTTTCCGCAAAGGATAAGTTGCGATCTATTACTTTACCTTCATCTATTATAAAAAGTACTCACCTCCTCCATCTTGACTACATTTTCCTTGCCTTTCTTGAAGAGTAGCGACATTTCTAACCTTTTGTTTTTCCACAACAATCCAGTTACACTTGATCAAGCAACACCTGGAAGGAATGAATTCATTTGAAGTCTGCAAAAAACACGGACGGCGCAATATGCCTCGGGGAGGAGCCTGTGGAAAGGCTATCAGGACTAAGCCTAACAATGAGGGACGAATTCCGGAGAAAATGCGAACTGCTCATTCAGCTCGGATCCCTTTTCTAGTCTAATCAGGGATGTCCTTCAGGTCGTGCCCAGTTTTTTCAAAACGTTATTTTGCATTATATAGGGTCTTGCGCATGGAACACGGACTTTG